TAATTACAGGCTACTAACAGCATGTGCTGTGTGCTCATCTTTATTCCAAACTTACTTTAGGTATCAGCCTGCTTTTCTCAACAAGGGAGCACTTAAGTTTAATTGCTTCGTTGGAAATATGCATTTAGCCCTTTCTGATCTGTATATACAACTCCTTGGCATAGCTGCAGAAGTTTGAACACCTGCAGCCCAAGCAGCTTGAAAAGAAAACATAACTTACTATAAAGGAAAATGAAAGAAGCTCAAGTTCAAAATGGTGTTATCAATGATACAGTGTTGTCACTAACTTGAGCTGACCTAAGAGAGTTGGCTTCTGCACTGCTCCTTATCACCATCCAAAAGGGCATACAAAATTCTTTGTAAACTAATTTAAAAAGTGTCTTGTTTATTCAGAGGCAACTGTGAATGGTATTTGTTCAGAGTGTAGATCACATCAATTGCATACCAGCCAACAACTTATTTCTCTTCTAAGAGAGAAGCCAAGTATCAAAGACACAAAGTACTAAAGATAAGCTTCTCAATTCTCAACTGTTCTGGGCCTCAATAAAGCTACTGATGTACAAATTGGGGTGGGGCCCAACTGTTTCCACCTGCAGGCTTGTCTTAGATCCTTGGCTCTGGCTGGGAGAGGTGCTGATACTAGTGAGACCTTTAGTGCCCTTAGAAAACAAAACCTGTGCCTTTTTATGGCCCTAATCAATCAGTCCTTCTGAAGAGGATTTTACCTCCTTTCTTCAAGTAGCTTTTAAGGGGGAGAGAAAAACCAAATAAACATAAAGACAACTGTGGTCGACTATTCCTATTTACATGGCTGGTGAAAGCAAAGAGATCGTTGATTTGTTCTTACTGAATCTTAAAAGACATTCCAAGTTATCCTTTTTCCTCTTTCTGTTGATTCTCAGATATTTTGTATTGGATAATTGATGAGAGGGTGACCTCAGTAAGTAAAAGAATAAAGTATTTTCAAAACTGGTTCAAATAGTATTATTAGGAAATTAAGACTTGGTACAAAGAAAACATGTCTGAGGCTATTTGAGGCACAAAATACAGAAAACTGAGTTGTCACAATTGAGCTTTTAATATGTTCAGTGCTTAAACATGGCTCACATGTAGCATCCATGGTTTCAGATATGAGTTTACTAAAATAATAGAATGTTTAAAATAACAATTTTGTTTTTGTGATGAGTACCTAGATTTAAACAAAAATTGGAAAATATTTGAAACATTAAAATTCAAAACTCTTGTTAAAACTAATTTGATTCCTAAATATCTTTGTAGGATTATTGAAATTAAAGCCTTTTGGATAATTGTGACTTGGATGAGTTACTGACAAGCATTGAGAATACTGAATTTTAAACTAATTTGTCTCTATAATTTAAAATTTATAACTTATTTCAAATATTATAAAAAATAACTGAAACCAACTGCTATTTTAGAGTAGTAATTCTAAGTGCTGTGTTTTCCTTTCCACAAAGTTATATTAATTGCTAACAATAGCCATGTTTCATGAGGCACATTTGAGAAGAGGTCTGTGTAAGTATATGTGTATTTATATATTTGTATAGGCAAAATGTGGTCTTCATAAGTAGTTTCTATTAACTTTCTTTCCCCGAATTAGATTTGTGTCATCTTCTTACTATGTCTTTTTCAATGATTTACATAGAAATACGGTAACACATTTTCCAGTCATTTTTCAAATTTAAGGATTACAGAACATGTAATTTACTGCATGTTAAGTGTATTGACTAGTTGATCTAAAATAAATATTCACAAATGGATAAAGCCATTTCAGAATTAAGCACATCTAGGGAAAGATGGCCTCGATGCAGGAAAAAAAAATTGACTAAATGAAATATTTAAAAATAATTTTATTGTTTATGATGTAGTTAACATTACAGATTTACATATTTTTAAAATGTCAACAAGCTTAGTTGATATGGCTAACATATGGTTAGTTTATAACTTTGTCTTTTACTGGGAAGAATAATATTTTTCTGAGTAAACTTTAGGTGTAAATTAGAATTGTTACTAATTCATCAATTTGGAGGTATCTTGCACTCTTAATTTTAGATGTTTTTCTCTTCAGTATGGACATTTCTCAGCTTCCTTGTGCTATAAGGTAGCACAGCTCTGGCATTCTACAATTGAGCATTCTTCCCACCCCCAAAAGATAGTTCTGTAGTAAGCTAAGCTTGTTTTGTGAAGAGCTGACAAAGTGAATTGTTTTTATTTTCATATTCATTGTTAATATGATGCTTTATTTATGAGAACATAATAGTTTGAAATTGAAAAAGGAAATTGAAAGTTCTGATGTAAAACTTCACTCTTATTAAAACTTAATCAGTTGTCGATGAAATGCCAATTAGTAATTTACTTCTGGATTTTTGTAGAATGTTATATTTATTGATCTTAAAAATTTGAGGCAAATTTGCATTCTTCCCCGCAAATAAAAGGTTAAATTCTTTTAGCACTTTTAGGATCATCTAATAAGAGATTCATGCTATGTGATTAAAGAATAATTTTCTGTAGTTTTCCATCTTTGAAGTTTGTGCTTTGTTCCTGGTTTTTACTTTTTTGAATGTTTATTCTTTGTATATTTATATTTTTTAGGGCATTTCTTTAGTTTTGTCTTTTAGTGTCTATAGCTTATGCATCTTTTAATGACATGCACATGGTCAAGGGATATTCCAGTATTAGAAAAATGTAGTTTTTGGCTTTGAACTGAAAAAGTACGTATCATATCGTGGTCTAGTAAGTTTGAGGTCAATCTGGGCAAGATTTTTGAGTGAATTGCCAGAAGAATGGTTTTTGAATTCCTACGAAAAAAACCCCTAACATTAGAAGTGAGAGTAGATTATTAAGAAAATGTCTCAGTCTTAATGTATTCCCCTTTTCTAAAAAAAAAATATTGCTAGACTGGTAGAGTAGGTACATTTTACAAAGGACTGTCCTGAATCCTCGTGACTTAAATGGAGATGGCAGCAGTAGCAGCAGTATACCTACTAAGTAGTGATGCATGTCTATGAAGGGCTTGTTTCTAATGACAAGCCACAGAAGTCTATGCTTGAACTTGTCTTGATAACATTCTACATACATGATTTTAATGCTTAGGAGGAAGGTTTATCACATTTTTAAGAGGCAAGGTCAGAGAGAGATTATAAATGTGCTGGATCACAGTAACAGAATCACTATCCAATGAAATTTTGACAAGCTAATTATAACATATATAATTGCACCCCTGCAAAAACAAAGAAGCAGTGTTGAACCTTATATAAATATCCAGTCACATGAATATAAAAAATAGTCTTTAATAAATAGTATTGAGTCAGTTAGATACCTATATGGAAGAAATATATCTTGACTCCTTCTGGACACAATGCACAGAAATTAATTCCAGATGAATTTTAAATCTAAATGTGAGATATAAAATTTATAATGCTCTCAGATAACGATAGGAGAACATCTAAGTGTCCAAAGAGTTTTTAAGCAGGACACAAAAAGTATAACCATAAGTATCTTGATAAATTTTAACTTCATTAAAACATTCCATCTAAAGATATTGGTATGAGAGTGAGAAAGTAACTTACAGAGTGGAAGAAGACATAGTACATATATCTATAAAAGAATCAATATTTAAAATGTAAAAAACATCAAAAATAAAATAAGGAACAAATTAAAAAAAGAACAAATCAATGAAAACATCAATAAAAAAACAACTGAACAGACACTACACAAAACACGATATTCAAGTGCCCGATAAATATATGAAAAGTACTCAATGTCATTACTCATCAAGGAATTGTAATTAAAACCACAATGTAATACTACAAATCTATCAAAATGGGTACAATTAAAAAGATGAGAAGTGTTTGCAAAGATATAGAGCAGACTCTCGTATTCCACGTATGTATTGATAAAAACTTTTTTAGAAAACTTTTGGCCATGTACTACTAAAACTGACCATGTGTATATACTCTGTACATATTTGCTAGAATGTTTATGGCAATACTATTTGCAACAGTCAAAACCTGGAAAGTACTCAATTGCCCATCAGTAGTAGCATGGAAAAATAAATTGTACTTTATCTACATAATAGAATAATATACAACAGTTAGCATGGTCTGTAACTCTATAAGAAACAATTTGGATGAATTTCTTTAGTATTATGCTGAGCAAAAGAAGCCAGACAGAAAATAAAACAGGCTGCATTATCGTATTTACATAAAAGTAGAAAAATACTCAAACTCCAATCTCTGTTAGAAGTGAGAAGAGTGGTTATTTGGGGACATAGTGACTGGAAGGGAGGTATTCTGAGGATGAGTTCTTGTGTGTGAATGTTTTTGATTTAGTTATTGCTTACATGGCTTTCCTCTATGTTATATTCATAAAGATGTATTTTTGATATGTGTACTTTTCCCTGTATATAATACTTCAATACAAAGTTTTAAAAATGCAAAAAAAAAATTGTATTGATTTTTGGCTGTGATACCTTCATATAACACATTTCTATTGCAGGGAGTTCCTGTCTCAGTGGACTGAGTTAGTCACTGAGCCTGAAAATTTTTTTCTCAGAGAAAGCATGACTTGGGTACTGCTAACTCTTAGGTTCTGAGATTTTCTTGTTTTAGACTTTGTGCTCTCTCTCTCTCTCTCTCTCTCTCTCTTTTTCATTTCAAACAGTCTTTTTCCTGACAGACAAAGTCTATACTGAATCTTGTGGAAAATTTACTTGTCATATTGTTGGAGATAGTAATTTTTATTTAGCTACATAACTTGGACAAGTCATTAGCCATTTATGGGCCTTTGCTTTCCTCATCTAGAAAAATTGTGAATCAATATTGAATAGAACTGTGATTTGCTGAGTTTGGTGGTTGGGTAACTAATATAATTTTTTAAAACTTATTTTCTTAGTGCTATAGCTGGGGGACCAATACAGAAAACATCACTGTTTGATAGTCACAGTTTCTTGCAAAATTACTGATTTTGTTCTTTTATAATAGGTACCAGAAATGGAGAAAAAAGTGAGCAGAATCTGTCTTGCTTCTGAACCTGATATAATTCATTTTCTACAAGTCACTTGGGAGAAAACGCTAGGATCTGGTTTTGTTATTACACTGACTGATGGCCAGTCAGCATGGACCGGGACAGGTAATATTAAAAGCAAAATTTCAGTAACCTGCTGTTTTTCAGTTCTCAGTGATACTTCAAATTAAAGTATTTCTTTAACAGGTATTGGGTAAAATTAATATAATTGCTTTTACTTGATATCATTGTCTAACTATATACAGATTTGTAATATTTAATGCCATTTTCTCTAATTTCTATTAATAGAAGGATAGAGAAATAAGCATGTACTTCTACAAATTCTGGTTACCATTTGAGCCTTAGTACTTGGACTTGGTTTGACTTTTTAAATGACCTCTTTATACAAAACATAAATAGCACTTATTACATGTATCTTTTCTGAGGCTCTTAGGGAAATTTTAGGGGTCAGGGCCTTTGACTGAAGATTTGGCTGAGTTAAATGTTTTTGTTGGCTTGGTGGAGTAGGGTAGTTGTGCTTTTCTTTTTATTTTATATACTTAGGTTGTTTCAATTATTTTCTTTTGAACATGTACCACATTTGTAACAAAACAAAATAGAACTCAAGCCTAAAACTTTGTAATTAAAGGCTCAAACCTAAATATAAGATTTTGGCAATTATTTTGTAAAATAGACTTTTGATCATTTTTGTTTGGTGATAATCTTTTTAAAAAGGCTGATGGCCCTGAAATAATATTTGAATCATGGAAGATATAAAGTAAAAAAAAAATATAAAAATGTAGAATTATGTTTTGCTCATATAGCAAAGTTTTAATATTTTTCTAAGATATTTTATCAAAAGATTTAAATAATTATTTCTGCAGCTATGCAACAGTCATTTCTACAGTTGTGAGTATGTTTTAGGTAAAATAATTTTGTCATGTTAAATTACATACTATTTGTATCTTCTATCAACTCTTGAAATTTTTCTCTAACATTGATATTACTATACTATATCATCTTTTAAAATTATGTAAGTTCTGGCCCTGGCTGGTGTGGCTGAGTGGATTGAGTGCCAGCCTGCAAGCAATAGGATCACCAGTTCGATGACCAGTCAGGGCACATGCCTGCGCTGCGGGCCAAGTCCCCAGGAGGGGCAAAAGAGAGGCAACCACAGTTGATGTTTCTCTCCCTCTCTCCCTCCCTTCCCCTCTCTCTAAAGGTAAATAGATAAAATCTTTTTTAAAAAATCACAAAAGTTCTGACATTTTGTTTCTTTCGTGAATGTTAAAATTGTTATACCACAACTTTTTTATCCGCTCATGTACTGGTGGACATTTGGGCTGCCTACAAAATTTGGTTATTGTAAATAATACTGCAATGAACACAGGGGTGCATATATTCATTTGAATTAGTGTTTTGGGTTCCCTCGGGTAAATTCCCAGAAGGGGAATTGCTGCGTCATAAGGCAGTTCCATTTTTAAGTTTTTGAGGTTAACTCAATACAGCTTTCCACAGTGGCTGCACGAATCTCCATCCCAACCAACAGGCAGGAGGGTTCCCTTTTCTCCACCTCCTTGCCAACACTTGTTGTTTGTTGATTTATAGTAGATGGGTGTATAAAAAAAGCTGTGGTACATTTGCACAGTGGAATACTTTTCGACCATAAGAAAGAAGAACCCTTTGCAACTGTATGGATAGAGCTGGAGAACATTGTGCTAAGTAAAGTAAAAAGTGAGAGGAAGACAAATACCATATGATCGCAATGATATTTGGAATCTAATGAACAAAATAAACTAACAAAATAGAAACAGACTCACAGATAGAGAACACATTGACAGCTGTTAGAGGGTAGTGTGGTTGGGAGGCTGGGTGAAAAAGGTAAAAAGGATTAAGCCAAAAAAAAAAAAAACCAAAACAAACAAACCTCATAGACACAGACAACAGCATGGTGGTTACCAGACTGAAAGTGAGGTGGGGGAGGGTAGAAGAGGGTAAAGGAAGGATAAATGGTGATGGAAGGAGACTTGACTTGGGCTGGTTAAGACACAATACAATATACAAGTGATGGATTATAGCATTGTACACCTGAAACCTATCTAAATTTATTAGCCATTGTCACCCCAGTAAATTTAAAAAAGCTGTTGTATGACAGTCAAACTGAATTTATACTTGTGGGTTTTTTGTTTTTTGTTTTTTTTTGGGGTGTGTGTGTGTGTGTGTTTATGACAGATTTCAAGGAATGTTGATATAAGGATTATTGTAAAATAAAGAAATTTCAAGGGTAATGTTTGCTGTACCTGTTATGGTATCTCTTTAAGATATAAATTTTTATGTAAGAGACATCAGTTGTTGATTGGTCAGGTTACTTCTCGGTGTGCTGGGGAAAGTAAACCAAGGTGTCAACAGCTCTGTTTTAGGGCGAGGTGCGTGCACAGAGCTAAAGACCATGGCAGTAGGTTAATCCCAGTCATCTGGGGAGATCAGTTCCAACAGCACAGTCTGGAAGGCATGTCCTAGGTGAAGTGGTTGCTTTTATGTGAGGAAAAATGTTTTTATAATTTAAATTTTCTAACTGACAAAGGGCTTATTCTATATAAGGAGAAATCATGGTCAGAGTACTTTGAGGTACTTTAATAACCTTAATTATCAAAGGAAAAGGTTAAACTTTACTCTGATCAGTAACTCTCATTCACCAAGAAAAAGAACAATAATTATATTTTATTTTTTTTTTTGTTATTAAGCATTGGGGAAGAAAAAGAATGATTTTTACTAACACTTAAATCTTAATTTAACCAGAAGTTAAAGTTAATTTTACATTATGAGACATTTTGTTTATGCCATACAAAATGTGCTTGCAGTTGCTCTTAACACTATTAATAAGAATATTATTTCACTAGACTAGGTCCGCAGAAGCAAAGAACACACTTGATTTGTCAACTACTCTGTATAAGTATCTTGACTAGTGCTTAGGATATACATGCTTAATAGATAATATTTTTTTGAATGTGATAATGAAATGAGACCTCAAATATATAACACTGATTAGAAAAAAAGAAATTGAACCATTTATTTTAGAGTTAGTGTATTGTAAAATGACAGATCCAGTTTCATATTTCTTGTTGGCATTGACATTTAATTCAGTATATTCTACTGTTTATTTTCCAGATAATGAGATTTAGTGTGACAAAAGTGTGATACCAAACTTCTGTATTATTTGTTGGGTTGAGTCCCTGTACTAAACAAGCTTTCATACAGAAAATTTTATAGTTCATTGTATATGGTCATTTTATTTTCAAAGATTACTAATGAAGTTTTAAATCTCACATATGTTTTATACTTTCATTATTCATTTCTATTTTCTTGTTTAAATTTCAGAGGGAAAAATCCAAATAATATAACATTGTTTCCATGTTTAGTTAAGGCTTATTACATAAATATAATTTGTTTTGGCACTTTATAGATAGACAATAATATGATTAAGAACATTGAAACAATTAAATAATTGAAACATGAAAATGGATTTCCTTCCTATACCTCATCCTGTTTTTTGTACAACTTTTTGATTGCTGCAACCTTCAATTTGGATAATTTTTTTCTCTTTTCATTTGAGTGAAATTAAAAGGATGTGGGGTTCTTTTTAATCTCCCACACACTAAACTCACTGATTTCTTTTTCATTAGCAATGTTTTATCTAATGAATGTTTTGGGGTCTAATTATCTTGTGGTCTATCATCACTTCAACATTATAGGGGGGTAATATCACAGGATTAAGTCACAAAGTGGGTTAGTGATTGATGACTATTATGTGACTTTTATAAGAATTGCAGTTGGCAGTAAGAAACGTAAATTACCCATCTTCTGGAATAGTTTAAATTTCATTGAAGAGTAAATTAAATTTTAGTAATTCTTTTATTATCAAATAATTATATCCACTTATACTTGTCGTAAACATTGATATTTGGTGACCTATATGGAGACTATGTGACAGGGCTTAGTAGAAAAGGGATTTTTAAAAAAGTTGTAAAATGGGTCCATAATGTGAAACCATCAAAAACCTAATGGGATGCTAAGGCTGTGTGTCCTCTGAGCTAAGATACAAACATAAGATATGTACAGTTTTTGGTTCCTTATACATAGGGATCCAAAAGAAAGAAGGTTCTTTCCTTACTTGCATTTTCATCTATCCACAGTGTTAAAGAGATGCTTTCTTGGCTGCTACTAGTCTGAGAAAAATTCCTTGTCTTGTGATCATGTTAGCCTGCTCAATTTCTATAACATATTATGTGAGTCAGCTGAATCCTTGCTGAATTTTATTATTTCCATGGCTTTTAATCCTGGTCACTGAAATTTTTGGAACATTGGATGCTCACAGCTGTGCTTCTTCCAGATGTTCTTAGCACAAAATTCAAAACTGGTGACTAAACTGTTTTTTTTTTTTAAGATTGTAGTTCTAAATAGGCAGTGAAAATTTCACATTTGCTATTACAGGAAATGCCCAAGTAAATTAAAAAAAAAACCTGGTACCTTCTTATTAAACATGGTTTTTAAAGGGGAAATATAAATAGATTAAACTGACAAACAAAATAGAAACAAGCATGGTTACATTATACAGACTGACAGCTGTCACAGAGGTGGGGGTTTGGGGGGCTGAATGAAAGAAGGTGAAGGGATTAAACAAAAAGCATATATACATAACACATAGACACAGACCTCGTGTGGCAACGGCCAGAGGGAAAGGAGGGTAAGGGCAGGTGGAGGTTGGCAAAGGGGAGATAAGTAGGGATGGAAAGAGACTTTGCTTTGGGCAATGGGCAAATGATAGTGTGCAGACAACGTTTTGTTGAGTTGTACACTTGAAACCTGTAAGATTTTGTGAACCAATGTCATCCCATTAAATTCAATTAAAAAATAATAATTTTATTTCATGTTTTTCCTTCTTAAAAATCAAATATTCTATAATAATAATCCAAATGGCATTCACAAATGGGAGTAACAAAGAGAGTATCTAAGATGGCAGCGCTTGAATCTAGGCTCCATAACGCTGGCATTTTTGTCTCTCTTTAACTATTTTCCTGGCACCTCGAATAGTGCCCAGCACATAGTAGATGCTCATGGCATTTTAAAATAAATGATTGAATCAATAAATTCTATTAAATATTTTCAGATAGGAATTTTGTCATGTTAATGAAGTTTAGAATGTTTTTCAATAGATGTTTTATCAATAAACATCTGTATTTTCTTTTGTGTTTTAGAAACTTTTATCTACATTAAAGATGACTTCTGCAGATTTATTTTTGATTTCTCTGTGAAATAATTGCTTTTCCTAAAATAAATAATAATTTTTTGAAGGTATTTGGAACTCTTCAAAATTATCCAAAAAAATATGAAATTATTCTTCAAATAGGAAGCATTTGTCTCATTATTTTTAGATGGTTTCAGAAGAGTGAATAAGATATTTGTAAGATCAGTAGATTTGATAGTGGCGATCATCTTAAATACGCATTTGCTTCAGAGAGAGGAAAAATATGTGATAGTGTTTTAGAAGCTGTAAAATCACATAAGAATATAAGATATTGTTATTCTTTTCAAAGACTTTGTTGACTCATTTCACTATTAGACTCATCAAAAATTGGTCATGAAATGTGTATGGATTTCAAGACTCTTCCTCATTGCCTGTCATGGGGCTTCCAGACACTTGCTCGCACACAGACTATTATCATGAAAAGCTGTGTTGTATTTTCAGAGATTCTTGAATCAAGATTTCATTTTCTGTAGTACTTTATTCTAATGTGTTTTTTAATATCATAGAAGAAAATAATTTACCCAGTATCCCATATCTCTGCCTATCTCCAAACAACAAATAGCCAGAGAGATATTAATATGAATCCTAGGTTAACCCCCTCTTGCCTTAGTGACCCTAGAATGTTACTTGATCTTTCTGAGCCTCAATTTTCTCATTTGTAAAATGAAAATAATGTCTATCTTTCAGTGTTATGAGGAATGACATAGATAAGTGTAACATTTAAATATAAAAGTATAGAACCATATGGTCTTTCATTTTTGTAGTAGTCTGATTTGACACAGAGAACCACCCAATCACACACATTCCAAACAAATGTAGATTACACCTTGTAATTTGAAAAACAAACAGATACATTGCTGCTTTTGAATGTAAGATGGGTCTTCACGTTCCATGTCTGAAGAGATAACCTGAAAACTAGAGTGGTTAATGGGAAATAAATAACTATAGGTTCATGCAATATCTGAACCGCATATATGCCTAAATGTCTGTGATTGTAATACCTGAGTGGGGTATGATGTTAAGACTGCAGGACTCTTAGGGAATTGGAGCTGAGCTCTCCGTATAAAGAAAGGAGCATGGGAGTTTATCCTGTTAATGGAGTCATCTGAAAACAAACAAACAAAAACTATACTCTGGTTGGGGATACACCATAGATCAGTCAATAAGAGAACAAATGCATAACCCAATAAAAATAAGAACTTTAAGTCTCTCTTATGTTTAGGTGAGAGGTTTGAATTTGAATTCTTTGCCTCATGTAAAAACTGAGCTGAGAAATTAACTTTCAGAATTAGTCCAGAATGGTGACATCTATAGGGACTCCAAGAAAGGCAAACCAGAAGCTTTCATTTAATGCCACCTCTACTGCCCACAGCTCTTGATAATCTGACTGTAGGAGAGCCGTGCTGAAACATGGCCATGCAGGAAAGGACAGGAAAAGAAGAATGAGAATGTATAAACAAATAGAAGAAATGGAATTAATACCCAGGAACTATGCATAAAGATTGATATGAAAAAGATTTTAAATATGTTTAAAGCCTTCAAATATTTAAAAGGAGAGTTAACAAGAACCAGGATATTATGAAAAAGAAACAGTATCTAAAATTGAAAATATAATTATTGAAATAAGTGTATCTATGGTTGAGTAAAACATGAACTTTAAAAATACCTAGATGAGAGAACTGGAAGCCAGATGTATAATGTAGTGTATGCTGTAGAGGAGACACTCGAGAAATATTAGTTTTTTTCTTTTTCCTCCCTCAGCAACTCCCTCCATTCACCTTTTCTGTTTTTGGCACATAATGACATAAAAAGTGCGAACTCCACTTTGACTTTAATTTGACTCTGCCCATGTGAGAAATAGACTGTTGACTATTTAATCTCTTTAATAATAAAGTCAAAGAAGGAAGATGTAGTAAAATACTTAGCTTATTAATGATTATAGGGAATGATTTCTCTGGTTATGACCTAGGAGCAGGTACATAGGATAGTAGTATCTGTGATAATTTACAATGTATGCATTTCATCTGAGAAGAGAAAGAATGCAAGGAGCCTAATACTCTCAGGTAAGATTTGAGACTAAATGTGTTTGTCAAAAATTGAATTCACTTAGAAGGTATAATTCTCCTTAAAAATGTATGATGTGGGGTTTGATTTTACATTTTAAAATTTCTGTTACATAAGTGATAAATTAGTAGCAACAGGTAAAGAATTATTTTCATATATTTAGAAATTTATTTTTTATTTAAAATTTTTTAATTAATGTTTTCCGTAGTTTGCGAATCAGCGATTTCCCAAGAAGCTGATGACATGGCAATGGAAAAAGAGAAATATGTGGATGAACTGAGGAAAGCATTGTTGTCAGGAGCAGGACCGTCCAATGCATACAAGTTCAATTTTTCTAAAGAGTCTTGTCATTTCTCCTTTGAGAAAAACCTGAAAGATGTTTCAGTAAGTAAACTTTCCAAAATGTAGTAAAATGTCAGAGCACTTATGAAGAATTATTGAAGTAATTAGCATAATATTCCCAGAATACCTCAGAAATAAAAGTTAAAAAAGTACTTGGTTTCCAAGTTGGAAGAATGCTTCAAAGTTACAGTCAATGCTTTATCTTAATGAATTATGAAAAATAATTACTAGAAAATGTACTTAGTTTTTAATGTTATAGATAAGTATTTTAGAGATAATTACATGAATAAACAGTTCTGAAAAATGAGGTCAAAAATTTTTAGACCATTGAGACAAGGTATATTGAAATAAGTTTGGGGAGAAATATTGGTGTTAAAGAAAATAAGATATTTACCTTGAATATTTAATAATCATGACATTTTCTACTTATTAGAATGTATTTAAAATTATAAAATGATAAAATTTAGTAGGGCTTGTAATTAGGAATTAAGATGTTTTATTTATATTATCAAACTTAGAAATATTAAAATAGAAAGAAATAATTCAACTCAAACTTTCCAGAATTTACAAGCTTTACAGACAAGGGTATCTACTACTTGTCCTGCTCAGTACCTACACCAATTCAGATCAAGATCAGTGATTTATTTATCAAAAGTATCATACTTACTGTTTCTCTATTTTACCCAAGTTTATGTGATAATTAAAGATTAAATTATTGGCACTTGCCAGTGGTTTATCAATAAGATATGAGCTCCATGGTAGAAAAAAAGGAGGGGCATCTTTATTACATTAAGTTTAAAGGCAGTTATTGACAATTTGTGCTATAACTAAATTGAATTTAAAAAATTATTTTTATAAAACCTCTTTTATTCAGAATAAGTTTAACTATTTCATCAATTAGAGAAACACTTGAAGCAACAAACTGAATCTTTTTTTTCAAATATATATCATCATATAGAGCAGGGGTGTCCAACCTTTTGGTGTCTCTGGGCCACATTGGAAGAAGAAGAGCTGTCTTAGGCCACATGTTAAATACACAAATGCTAATGAAACTGATGAGCAAAAAAAAGGTCCATGCATAATTTTTGTGATATCTACCACTGCAGATAAGCAAAAAAAATCCTCACATAATAACCCTAATTATGCAGTGGCTCTTTCTGTAATCTTTTAAAATCATCGAGCAAGTCCCAAGTTTGTGATCACTAATATAGAAAATATACATATCTAAGTAATAAAACAGTATAAAATTTAGTAATAAAACTAATGTTTTAAGTAAATTTATGATTTTCTGTTTTTTTTTTTAATTTTTTTATTGCTCCAATACATTTGTCTCTATTTTCCCGCCACCACTTTCCCCTGCCCCACCCACCCCCACCTCCCACCCTCAATCCTTTCCCACTTTGGCTTTGTCTGTGGGTCCTTTATATATGTGTTCCTTGACTTGATGTTCTGTTGGGCCGCTGGGCCACATGTGGCCCATGGGCTGCAGGTTGGACACCCCTGGTATAGAGAATAATACAGAGAGACTGGCTTCAATAATTATTTATATTTAAAAGAGATATACGTTTTCTAATTTATCTGCCAATGTATTTAAGTTTCAATAAGCTAAGTCCTTAAAATGGTAATTTAAAATAGGTTAAATAAGAAGGTTTGAATTGGCTACTGAAATTTTATTGTTTATCACAATGTTCTTTTCTGTACGGTTCGATGATGTTATCTATATACTCCAGCACTGCTGATGGTTTCTTCTAGTATTTTGAAGCAGATCATCATCAAATTGGGAGCAATGCCATTTTCCATTCAGCATTTTCATTCAATTTGTCTGTATTAACTAACATTTTTTTCATGCAGCCAGTTTCTAATTTTCATCTGTTTTGTATATACTGAAGCATAACAAATTCCAAGTTTGTGAGGTATCTTTGAACCCTGAAAGGCTTTTGGTATCTTTGACATGGTGAAATGTGGGGTTTGGTACATTGGGCATGGATAGAGTACTTGCCATGCTTGGCCGTACATCTGGTTTTGTTCCTTCTATGAAGAAAGAACTTCAAGTCCTCATGAATCATGTCTTTTACAATTGGCATGGCATGTATCAACATCAGAAACTGTGACAGTAATCCAGAAAGAAAGCTTGCACACCACCCTGAAACTATCAACTTTATCAGAGCCAAAGCCTTTAGCCTTTTCCTTTTCCACAGGTTTTCTCAAGAAATGGAAACAGCATAAGAGATTCCCAGTAATGAGAAGTGTGCTAGGTTCCTAAAGGATATGTCTTAAATCACTCTATTGCAGTTTAGATAGCTGCTTCCTTCTTTATTCATTTATCAACTTACTTATGAGGGGAAAAAAGCCTACTCTGAGACAAGAAGGAGTTTATTCATGGCTTGGCTTACTTGGGAGATATTTTTGGATATTTGAATGAGGTAGAACTTTTAGTTCTCTCAGTCTTATGGATGCAGATGAAAATCACAGGTCCATCTGTCCAAATTGGCTTGGGAATCTTCCAGCGCTGCAGGATGTGTTTCCGCAAATTGGATTTCAGGGTGACAGTATCTTGTAAATTTATCTGCTGGCAAACATTTGCAGACAATTGGAAGCATGGCAGAGTACTTTTTTAAAGTTAATTGTTCTTTGGTGACCTTAAAGTTTAAATGGAGTTTGTAAATACTTTCCTTGGTGATACAGACATCTGATTATTGCCAAACGTGACCTCCTACACTTGGAATAAAAGAAAAAAAAAAAGAATGTAGAATCCACTCACAAAATTGTAGTGAATTCTGTTGTTTGTTGATATAAAGTTACTCTATTATGGCAAAGTGTATTCCATAGCTTCTAATAATATTTGCTACCAGAGTCATAACTCTGTGAGTCTGGGTTTTTAAACATTTGTTGCCGTAATTCAAGAAGTTTTATGTGTTTAATTCTGTGTTGGTGATCACTACACAATATGAGCATTTCATATATTCAAGTCATACAAGACATTTGAAATCTATATTTGTATCAAATTTTTTATTTTTTAAAAGAAACCAGATACTAATTTATATATTCAAACACTTCTTTTTGGAAATATTATCCTGTGTTTTATCACTGAAAGAATTGTCAATTTACAAAGCAATGAAATATTTTAAGTGTATAATGTGTTTGTCAATGTTTGTGTACATTTTGGGAAGTGGGGAGTGGGCACATAGTTTTCATGAGATTACTTTTGAGTTCAAAACACCCAAAACTTTATTTATGCTCTAATTGGCTTTTCTTTATAGATAATATAGATTCTTTCATTTTAGCTTAATTCCCATTGGAATAAATGTTGAATAGCCTGCTAGATATTAACTCTTTTTCTCTGTACAGTTCAAACCTTTGGGACCATCACCATTGCTTTTTAGTTGGCAGTAAATTGTACTGGATGAAAGCATACTCTAGTGCCAGCATTTGGAACTCATTATCTCTTCTGTACAAGTACTGTCATCCACTCTGGAGACTACTCATAGACTTTGTGTCATTGTTTTCCTTCTGTCTTTCACAATTCATATTGATTTTTCAGTAGTATATGCTTTGTCATGCAAATAGTGTATCTTGATTAATGTCTTCTTCCTTTTTTGTTTTCATAACTTGCTGTTTCTTTAGAAACAATTTCATTCATGACCTGTGGGAAAAAACCTAATAGCTCTCACCAGGTGGCTCAGCTCATTTGGAGCATTGTCCTTTACATGAAGAGGTTGCGGATTTGATTCCTAGCCAGGGCACATACCTAGATTGTGGGTTTGGTCCTCAGTTGGGATGTGTACTGGAGGGAACTGATCCATGTTTCTTTCTCATGTGGATGTTTCTCTCTCTCTCTCTTTCTCTCTCCTTCCCTCCCTTTCTCTTTTTCCAAAGTCTATAATCATATCCTCGGGTGAGGATTAAAAAAAAAAGACTTAATTATTTTTGGTAAGAATAGCCTTGGGCTCATCATTTAGCTTGCTCATATTTCTGTTTTCTCACCTATAAAATTTTAAAGTGATTTCTTAGGTTTATTTTAGGTCATCTAAATTAGTGTAGTTTTTTATTTCTAAAAGTAGCCCTAAGGAAGGAAAGCCAGGAGGGTTAAAGGAAAATTAAATATGACAAGTAAATAGATACACACACATGCACACACACGCACACAAACACACATGAGAACTGATTACAGGTCTTCATTAGAATTCTGGTAGTCCTTTTGTATTTCCTTTCTCTTTGTCTCTCTGCCCCCACCATCAGATGTTGGCTTGGGATAGAGTTTTTAGGCTGAACATTTTATGACTTGAATAGCAGGGAGATTTGTTTTTCTCTGATGTAAAAATCCAAATTGGCAGTCCTGGATTAATAGGATGGCTTTGTGATGTTGGAGGCTCGGGCTTCTTTTATCACGTTGCTTTTTAACAGGTAGTTTTTATCTCATGGTCCAGATGGCTGCTCTAGTTTCATTGTTATGTTCGCCTTTCAGGCAGCAGGACTGAGTTAAAGAGAACATAAAGAGTCATGTACCTTTTCTTTTAGGTCATCACCTTAAAATTGCATATATTACTTTTGCTCACATCCCATTGTTCAGAACTAAGTCACATGGCTTCATTTAGTGGCGAGCCAATTTGTGAAATGTGATTTCAGTTATGTTCTATGCCCAGAAATTTCCATTACTGTGTAGAGAGTAGAAGGTGGATATTGAGGGACAAATAGCGGTTTCTTCATGTTAACATTAAGGAAAGACTGAAACATCATTTAGGATGCTCACTTTAATTATTATAAGGGTATTTATTCCTCTAATATTTTTATTCCAAATACATGGTTCAGTCATATTTTAATTTAAAAAAAAGTTTGAACATATAGTAAGGTACAGGCTAACTATATCTCACTGTGTATTGTAACTTTTTCTTAAGTGGAAAATGAATTCTAAGTTCAAACATCCTCCCTACAATTGTTTAACTTACATTTCTCAGATATATAAAAATGAGGTAAAGTAAATTAGCCAAAAGCAGCCAAAGTTGTTCTTAAAAACAGCAGTTCAAAATTCTCTATTATTGCCA